TCAGAGAAGTGGCCCCTTTTCTATAGCATCCAAATTTCATTTTAAAACCAGCATTTCCTGGTCTCTTGGAGAGCTGGGTAAAACTCAAACTAACTGGGTAAAACCAAACTCTTCTCTTAAATGTGCTCAGGCCACGATATTCTCTGTAAACCTTCTGAAACAAAAACTCTTCTGATGGGGCAATGAAGAGACTAAAAATTATTTTTAAAAAAAAATTAGAAGGATTCCTGAAACTGGCTGCATAATTTTTGTCCCACTTGTTCTAGGGGGAAAAAAAAAATCCCTTTTTTGCTGAGAAACCACTTGAATCACCTGTAATGATGGGCAATTCCCCAGTGTCAGGGCCTCACTCATCCCTGGAGGATAAAAACCTTGATTCCAGCCTGTTTGGTCAGGTCCTGAGCAGAAAATTGGGATAACCATCACTCAGCATGAGCAGAGCTGAGATCCTGGGTGTGAGGGTCTGTAAACCTTCTGAAACAAAATCTCTTCTGATGGGCAATAAAGAGATTGAAAATTAATTTTAAAATTACTTTTTTTTTTTAAATTAAAAGGCCTAGAAGTATCCCTGAAACTGGCTGCATAATTTTTGTCCCACTTGTTCTAGGGGGAAAAAAATTCCCTTTTTTTGCTAAGAAGCCATAGTAATGATGGGCAATTCCCCAGTGCCAGGCCTCACTCATCCCTGCAGCATAAAAACCTTGATTCCAGCCTGTTTGGCCAGGTCCTGAGCAGAAAATTGGGTCCACGAGCAGAGCTGAGCCCCTCAGGGGGTGTGAGGGCCCTCAGAGCTCCCACAGCAATGAAGAAACCTCTTACATAATGTTGTTTATTGAACAGAACATGGCCAAAGTCCTTTCTGGCAGGAGATAAAAGTGTTTGCAAAGAGCTGACAGCAAGAACCCTGCCAGGCTTTGGCAAGGACACACCAGGGCTGTGAAAATCCAACACCACACGTGGATTTTCTTCCCTGCTCAAAACACACAGCCCTGCTCCAAGCAGCAGCTGGAAGGGGGAGCAGTTCTTTGTGGTGGCAAAAAGTGATTTTCCTGCTGGAAAACACACACATGGAGAGTTTAGGAGGAGCAGGTTGAATGGAAAGGGAGCAAAATTGCAGTTTCTGAACTCAAAATCCTGCATAGTGACAGCTGAGCTGAAGGGATACCTGGCAAATTTAATTTATATGTTGTCCTGGGGTGCTTTGTCTTTCCTTCCCCACCCTCCCTTGCCTTGCCTCAAGAGCAGGAACTCTCCTGCCCTTCTGGAAAATCAACTCATGGAGTGACTTTTTGCTGCTAATAATTTATGGCCAGACATGTCAATACCCCAAAATTCCCCAGGGGATGTGCCTTAAATCTATCCAGGGATTAAAGCTTGACCACAAATAGAGAATATTTTGCTATTCCTCATCAGAACAGCCCCAGGGCACTTCCCTGGGATGTGGGAGAGCCCAGGGAGGCATCACTACAAGGAAGAGCCAAGCAGCACATGGCAAGGCAAAAAACTCCGGCATAAAACTGGGAAAACCTCAAGATCCAAAACCAGCAATGCAGACTTGGGCAGATCCAAATTCAATCCCACTGGGGGTTTTTTGGAGAAAAAATGGTCATAAAATGAATGAGGTAGGCTGATCTGTGTCCATCCCTGCCAGCAGGGGCTGAGCTGCTGCTGAAAACCAAATTATGGGAGCCCTGTCTGCTCCCAAACCTTGAGGACCCCAGGGACCATCAAAATCCAGCTCCTGGTCCTGCAGAGTGCCTCAGAGTGGTGTCCAAACATTTATTGATTTAAACAAAGGGTGCTGTGCCCAAATCCTGGTTCTCACTGGCATTCCCTGTCCAACCTGCAGCACACAGGGACAGCCAGGGGCAGGAGAGGCGTTGGGAGGATGCAAAAGGAAATCACAGAAGCTTCTGGCAAACATTTGTGGCCAACAGCTGATGAGCTGGGTGGGAGAAGATGCCAAAACAGGAATTTGTGGCTTCTCTTTGGGCAGTGCTCTGGCACCAGGAAGAGAATGAGCACTGAGGAAAAGCAGGAGAGGGAAATTGATGGGATTGATCTTTCCAGAGCACAGGAAAGCAAAGGAATCACTGCCTTTGCTCTCATGCTCCTCCAACACCTCCCATCCCTGTATTTAACTTTCCCCATGTTCCTGTATCCAGGAATGAGCACTGATCGGTGTCCTGAGGAAAAGCAGGAGGGGAAGTTGATGGGATTGATCCTTCCAGAGCACAGGAAAGTAAGGAAACACTGCCTTTGCTCTCATGCTCTTCCAACACCTCCCTTGCCTGTATTTATGGTTATCAAACCTTCCCCAAATTCCTGTATTCAGATGGATCCCAGCAACACCAGTGCCCACCCTCCTGGCAGAGATCCTGGTGTGCCCAGCTCTTTCCTGAGCCTTCCTTTTCCAGCCTTTTCTGCTGCAGACCCCTCTTTCCCAACTTCAGCCTCCTGTCCATGTTTGCTCCTGCACACCCAAACCTGTCCCTACAGACACCCTGAGAGCTCAGCTGGAGGCCACAGAGGATGGATTCACTGGGAGAGCCACGATTTCTGTGGGGTTGGGGCAGCACAATGCCAGATTCCAGCTTTCACGGCCTGGTGGTTTGCTGTGTTCACCTCTCTGAGGGGCACCAAGCAACGAGGAGCAGCGGGAGCTGGGAGGGAGAGGCAACAATGCCCAGGGCAAGGGAATCACTGAGGTGGTGATTGTCCCTGGAAGTCACCCAAGGATCCAGCCCAGGAACACAAAGCTCAGAGGTGATGGCAGAGGAGCCCCAGCAGCCCTGGCTGTTTTCTCCAGACAGCAGAGGCTGCAGGTGCATCTTACCTGAAGTTTGGGGGTGTTGAAGGTTGCAATGCAAGATGTTTTCAATTACCATCTGTATGGCAGATTACCTTTGTCAAGGGGGCAGTTTGCCTTATCTTTCTCTTTGAGTGACCACATTCACACCTCCCTCAGGAGGGGACATCTGCTGATAACAGACTATTGAATGTCACTGCATGGCTGATAAGAACTATAACATCCCATTGTGAGATGCTCCGCCCAGAGGGAGGAGCCAAGCATTGCTACCCAGATATAATCCAGAGGTTTATGAGAACCAGTAAGGCTTTCTCCCCAGGATTCCCCAGAGGAACAGCAGCTGTCTCTTCTTCCACTGGATCTTCAGAGCAAGAATACATCCTTCTCTACAGATCCCCCTTGTTCCAACAGAACCACACCTGACACTGCAGGAGGGCTGCAGCCACATTTCCAATTGCACTTCCACCAACACCCTGACCCACAGGGTGTCAGGTTGCGTTCTGACTCTGTCAGTGTTGTTCTAGTGTACTGCATTGTTTATTTTATCCTTTTATTTTTTCCCTATTAAAGAACTGTTATTTCCTGCTCCCATATTTTTGCCTGAGAGCCCCTTAATTTAAAATTTATAGCAGTTCAGAGGGGTGGGGAGGGTTTACATTCTCCATTTCAGGGGAGGCTCCTGCCTTCCCTAGCAGCCTCCTGTCTTTCCAAACCAATACATGGGGAAAACACAGAGGAAAATTTGGGATCCATCAGCACCATGCCCTGATCCCGAGGCACATCCCATCCCATCCCATCCCATCCCATCCCACCCAGCCAAGGCAGCACAGGCTCCACAGCCTGCAGTGAGCCAACGCCCAGCACCTGTGTCCCAAACCCAGCCCTGGTCCCTTCTCCAGAGGCAGCAGCTCCCATTGCCAGGCTCCCTGCCCTGCTGAGCACAGATGGGACCACGAGGAGCCAGAGCCATGCACAAAGTCACACACCACAAGGCAGGGTTGAGCAGATTCCATTTAATGTCATGTGCATATATATCCATACATTTATTTATGTCAATGGTTCGGGTGTGCGTGATGCCAGGTCTTGAAAAATCTACTCCTCGGGTTACGTCTGGGAGCACCAAATCTCTCAAAAATCACCTCAAAAATCAGCTGGGCTGTTGAAAAACCGACTTTTAGCCCCAAAAAGCAGAGAACTGAAGGCACAGCAGAGCCCTAAATTCCCACCCAGCTCTGCAAATGCTGTTGCAAAGGGCTTGGCCAAGGAACCCCTCCCTCCTTCCATCCCTCCATCCATCCTTCCCAGGGAGACAGAACTGATAAGGAACAGCAGCAGCACCAGCATCCCACCAGCTCTCCAGGGTTTTGGCCAAGGCTGAGGAACAGGGCAGAGAGGCAGAGATAAAATATCCCCGAAAAAAAAGAAAAGGGAAAGAGAAGGGAAGGGAAAGAGAAGGGAAGGGAAGGGAAGGGAAGGGAAGGGAAGAGAAGGGAAGGGAAGGGAAGGGAAGGGAAGGGAAGGAAAGGAAAGGAAAGGAAAGGAAAGGAAAGGAAAGGAAAGGAAAGGAAAGGAAAGGAAAGGAAAGGAAAGGAAAGGGGAAAAAGGAAAAAGGAAAAAGGAAAATAATTACAAAAAAAATGACACTTTCACTGCCACGGACGCACAGAAATTGGCTTCTCTTCTCTTTTTTTTTTTTTTGGTTTTTTTTTTTGGTTTTTTTTTTTTTTGTTGTTGTTGTTTCTGGCAGCTGCTGGGGGAAGGGATGCCCACCCTGCCCTGTGCTGCATCCCAGCAGTTGCAGGGTAGATTTTTCAAGGCCTGGAGATGGCTCCCAGGAAGGCTCCTCCCGATTGCATAGCATTTATTTCAGGTAATTAAGGCACTGTTTTGCCCAACAGCAATTCCACATCAATGCAGTTTCCATACAGTCCACATCGGATGGCCTACAGTGCAATAACATCAACTTAAAGGCAAGGTTTGGAAGAATAAACCCAGCTTTAAATTTCAACTGAATTATTAAGAAGATAAAAGGAAACTACATTTTTCAAAAGCCTTTTTTTATTTTCCTTCACCATTGTTGTTTTACAATACAAATATCACCTTGTGAATACACAAAAAACCTACAGAAGATAACTCTGCTTCACGTAAAATACAGAATGGATATATATATATATATATATTTATATATATATTTTTCTCTTCTTCATTCTTTTCTTTTTTTTGTTTTTTTTATAAAAACTATTTTTGTTCTGCACATTGGCAAGTTTTAGGATAGGAGACTTCCCCAAACATACAGTATGTATGGTAGGAGTGGAAACTTAAGAATTCCATGCAGTTTCTGCACAAATATTTTAAAGAAATAGATTATCTTTGTTGTTTTTCAACAACACTCCGATAAGGGGATGGAGAAACCATTCATAGTTCACTCAGTGATCATCTGTAAAATTCTTAAAAAACAGGAATTCATGGCTGTTTTGCTTTTTAAAACCCAGCTACCAAGTAGAACAATAAAGTGATTCTTTTTTAGCTTGACCTGCCCACAATGTGTGAGCAAGGTCGGACCCTTTTGTATTTGGTGGGGTGGGAGGCTTTTCCCTACACGTGGCAATTTCAATATTATAAGCAAATTTCCAGTTTAATTTAGCTATAAATGCAAAAATTAGTAATTATACAGTATATATAATTCTGCTTTCATGGAATACTTTATTTTAAATAAAAACATTTAAGACTGCCTACTGACCATACAATCAAGACAAGAAAGGCACTAGAAACATAGACAAATCTCTCTCTCTCCCAAGAAGCATTTTCTTTAAATTTTTTTTTAACTCTCTATTCTCTGACATGTAAAAATCTTTTTAAATTTAATTTTTTTTATTTTCATACACATTTTGAAAAATAAAGTTAGGAAATACTTAGAAAATCACTTTACATTTTTTCTCTCTTTTTTTTTTTGTTTTTTTTTCTTTTTTTTTTTTTTTGCACTTTTTTGACACAGTCAGTCACTGCAGAATCTACAAAATCAGGATTTACCAAACCTTTCTGTGTCTGTCATCTTATTCGTAGCGCAGGTGCAACAGGTAGAAAGATTTCTTGATTTCACCCAAGGCAGATATTTAGAAACCTTCATATAGTCATTTGCTAGAAAATGGCTTACAGCCCAATCTTTGGGGCAAGAGATATGAAAAGTATGTTTTCCCAAGAAAATAATATGCTTTGTTCCCAGACGTGACTGGAAAGACCAGAACTCATGATATAAAAGCTTTTTCATCTATGTTGTCGCATCATATACAAAGGAACAATGGTGATGGGCAAAATGCAAATCCCAACTCTACCAACAAGAAATGTATAACAGTGCATGATCAGTTAAATTCTCTTTTATTGTTGTCCAACGCAGATCCTTTGGAGAGAAAAAAAGATCACAGTGCTTACCAGGTAACTGAACAGGTCAGGTCCAGGGGGGAGCTGCTAAAGAAAGGGCTCGGGGAGCGGTGGGTGTTTGTTTATGGCATCTTCTCTGGGAGGTGTGAGCACTTGGGGCAGGTCCTGCGGGGTGACACTGCTGTTACCTGGTGTCACTCGCCAGGCGGCTGTACTTGACCTGCCGGCCCCGCGCCAGCGCCGGACACCGCAGGGGCCAGTGGTACGAGCGAGGTACAATGCCTTGCACATTCTTCTCAAAGTACTGGAAGGGCTTGTACCACCACACCCTTGCAAGGAGGTTCGTTTGGGAAGCTTCTTTTAGCACCTGCAGGGGGAGGAGGACAAAAAGAGGATTGCTGAAGGGCAGGTCCTTTATTCGCGCCACCGCTCGTCCGTGAGGAACTCAACCAATCTGTGGTTGTTGCTCGTCGGTGGTTGTTGTGCTGTGATTTCAGGGTTTACCCCAGAACCTCGGGTTGCTCCCCTGATAATTCCCTCCCAAATGTGTCAGCCACCTCTCCTTTCCCCTCCCAGCACTGTCAATCTTGGAATTCCAGAAGGGCACTGAGTGACTGCCAGATGTTGCAGACATTTTTCATGGAAAATCCTTTCCTTAGGATTTTTCCTCCTGAGAAGCTGAGAAGCCTCAGGAACAAAATGTAAACATTGATTATCTGCTGCTGTGGAATGCAACAGGTGGATCTGTGATTGGTCTCATGTGGTTGTTTCTAATTAATGGCCAATCACAGTCCAGCTGGCTGAGACTCTCTGTCCGAGACACAAGCCTTTGTTATCATTCCTTCCTTTCTATTCTTAGCCAGCCTTCTGATGAAATCCTTTCTTCTATTCTTTTAGTATAGTTATAATGTAATATATATCATAAAATAATAAATCAAGCCTTCTGAAACATGGAGTCAGATCCTCATCTCTTCCCTCATCCAAGAACCCCTGTGAACACTGTCACAGGCAGATTCAAAGGATGCCCTCCAAGTGTCCTTTGTCCCTTGAGACCTCCTCTCCTGGACCTGGTGGTGGCTCCCAACCCCTTCCCTGCTCCCTTGTAGGTCCTACTCATTATTCCACTGGTTTGGTGCTGCCTGAAGCAAAACACCACAGCCATGTTTGACTAATTGCCAATTAGGTGCCCTTTGATGTTCACTCAGCTTGGGAGGCACTGGGTTCTGTGCCCACACTCTGCAGCTCCTGTCTCGCAACAGCTGAGGGTTCCACACACAATCCAGAGCATTCCACACTTTCATCTGCTCCTGGGCTCTCAGAGCAGTGATGCTTCCAAGCTGGAAGTGCTGGAGTGCCCCCAGTCCTGCTGAGGAATTGCTTCAGCAGAGCTTTGGGGTGGAAATGTTCCTGTCCTGCTGCCTGAGGTGACTGAGGAGGTGGCTGGGGTAAAAGAACAGCAACCAAGTGGTTTGGAGAGTTCTGTTGGAGCTGTTGCTGGGTTCAGAGGCCTGTGGGCCAGGAATAAAGCTCTGGATTGAAACCCTCCATCAGAACTGACTCTTTAAAGCTTCTCCACAGAGGAAAACCTGAGGATTGGACCCTCTTAAGGGAGGAGGCTCCATCCCACCACCACCAGAGCTCCTGCACGCCTGGACTTGTCTCCACATGCCCAGCTGCATCATCCAGCTTAGCCAAAGGTGTCTCTGGGGTCAAACACCACAGTGTTGCTATTTGGTTCAGCACCAAGACCAGACAAGCTCAGGCACGTCCTGTCCATAATACTGGTAAATATTCCAATAGGTGCTGTCCTGCTTCCTGCTGCTCCCAAAATCTCACCTCCCAAACAGATCCCACACACCAAACCTGCTCACCCCTGCCTGCAGGACCTCAGTTGTTTGATGGGCCCACAGGAAAGAAGGAGTGGCCCAAAACAGGTGTCTGGCCTCCTTTGGGAATGAAAATGCCATCCCAAAGCAGGATGTTCTGTAAGTGCCTCTGAAATTCCATGGGGCTCAGGAATCTCTTTGGGGCTCGCTGTGTGCCTGTGCAGCTATGGGAATACATTACAAATTACTCCACTTTCTTCATGGAGGAAAAAGCCCCTTCTTTAGTCACATAACTCCTTTTTGTACAGTTTTACAGACCTCATGTGTGACTCCAATTGGTCAGGAGCTTTCTTGCCAATTATTTATTTGTTAGTAACAAGTTATATTCTGTATTGATTGGTCACTAAAACCCCCAGTGAATATGTGCAGGAAAAGTTGTTTGTGAGAGATAATTTTAATTTTTCTATCTAATGGTGTAAAAACAGTTTATACAGGTGCTGGTTGTTTTTTCACCCAGGAATAGATTGTTATGCTAACAAACTGCTCACACCAGGATTGCTTTCACATGGGAACTTGCACAGTGCTAGCTTCCCTTACAAGAAATGAGAGGCCAGCCAGAGCAGGCTTGATTTTATATGGCTTTTCTTTATCATTTTCCACCTTACTGCATCATGGAGCCATGAGCAGGGCACGTCCCAACCCACCTGGAGGAAGCCAGAACCCTGCCCTGCCCTCCACATGCTCCCAGACTGCTCCCACCTACCTTCTGCTTCTCTCAGCCATGAGCAAGCCCCAGCCCAACCACATCCAACCCTCTGCTGCCTATTATCCACACCAGAGCCAGGGGTCCCCGTATCCACCCCTCAAAGGGAACACATGAGCACACGTGTGCAAACGTGTGCACACAAGCACACACAGGGCTTGTATTCTCGAGTTTCATCTCCATGTCAAGCTCATGTGTCAAATAAATCCATTGTTGCTTTTAATTTTAAAGCCAGGCACAAGCCCCAGCAGGAGGAAGGAGAGAGCAGCAGGGAAGGAGCCAGGGACTGGCATTTCCCAACATGCTGGCAGCTCAGGCAGCAGGACAGGAACATTTCCACACCAAAGCTCTGCTGAAGCAATTCCTCAGCAGGACTGGGGGCACTCCAGCACTTCCAGCTTGGAAGCATCACTGCTCTGGGAGCTCAGGAGCAGAGTGAAAGTGTGGAAGGCTCCGGATTGTGCGTGGAACCCTCAGCTGTTGTGCGACAAGAGCTGCAGAGCATGGGCACAGTGCCTCCCAAGCTGAGTGAACATCAAAGGGCACCTAATTGGCAATTAGTCAAACATGGCTGTGGTGTTTTGCTTCAGGCAGCACCAAACCAGTGGAATAACAAGGTGGGACCTAGATGACCTTTAGGGCCCTTTCCAGCCCATGATGATTCTGTGATAGGATCTAAAATCTGCACTGTCATAATATAAATTCATCTTCTACCACTGTAGGATGTCTTTATTACACATAATTACCAGCATATGTCATAGATAAGCAAAAGATCTTTGACCATGAACACAAAGTATCTGGACACCAATGTGCTGCTAGGGAGCTAAAAATATCTGTTAACTCCCTTGTCTACCATCTGTGGCAAAGACTTGTGCATTTCCTCTCAGAGAACCATGGAACATGCACAGCTGGAAGGGACCCACAGAGATCATTGATCCAGCCTCTGTTCTTGCAAAGACACCCCAACAACCCCACCCTGGGCATCCCTGGAGCAGTGTCCAAGCTCTCCTGGAGCTCTGGCAGCCTCGGGGCTGTGCCCATTCCCTGGGGAGCCTGGGCAGTGCCAGCACCCTCTGGGGGAAGAACCTTGCCCTGATCTCCTGATCTCCTGACCCTGCCCTGCACAGCAGAGGAGGTCTCACCTTCCTCAGCACTGTCAGCTCCTCCCTGACTGTTCCAGTTCACCAGCCAGGAGAACTCTCCACCCCCTGGAAGCCCTTTCACAAACCAGTTCCCTTTTTAGTGAGGCCTCCTCCTGCACCTCAAGGGACCTGTGGCACAGAGCCACAGAGCACAGGAAAACCCCAGCTGGCCTCAACCACCAAACTAAACAAAACCAAGGCAAAAGAATCTAAGTGGTTTGTTGTTCTGTCACAAATGTGGCCACCTAGCCCAAATTCAGGAGAATTCAAAAAACTGAGGTTACCCAGGGGTGGGAGAGTCCTGCCTGCCTTTGGGAAGCCCTTTCCATATTTTTGTGGTCAAGAACCCAATGAATGATGCATGATGCCTCTTTCTCCCCTGCAAACCCAATAGCTGGGAGGAAGAGAGGGACTCTCCACAGGACATGGGTGAGCCTGGATATTCTCACCCCACCCCAGGCTACAAGCAGGAGCATCCAAGGAGTGGCAGGCACTCACTTGCTGGTTGGCCATTGTGTGGTACCACCAGAATAGCCTTGTAGTGATGTAGTAAGCCACCACCACGTCCACAGTGTAGTGGTCATGAGCAAGGAGGATGCAGAACATCCCCACCATGCTGAGAGCCCAGCAGAGCCAGTGGTACCACCAGAGTCGCCGTGGGGAATCTGCAAAGAAAGAAGCACAAGCAGGGGTTACTCATCAGTGGAAGCTTATCAGGACTGCTGCAGTGATTAGCTGAGGTCATGGACTGCAATCCTGCCTGCCACAGAGGTGCCTGGGCTCACATTGACAGCAGGAATGCTGAGATCACAAAATAAGGATCACTCTCTTAAAGGTGGAGCTTAAAATTGTACTCAGGGGTAATGACATCCTTGGAAATGAGAAAAGGTATGAAATCTTTTGAGAAAGATATAATATATCTTATATAAGATATAAAATAAGATATATATATATATATTAAGATATATAATACCCTGGCCAGTCAAATCAACCTGCTTGTGTTTAGATGGGATATTGGGAATTAGGAGTTGTTCCCTGGCAGAGTGGGGAGGTTCAGATTCCCAGAGCAGCTGGGGCTGCCCCTGGATCCCTGGAGGTGCTCCAGGCCAGGTTGGACAGGGCAAGGAGCAGCCTGGGACAGTGGAAAGTGTCCCTGCCATGACAGGGGGTGAGATGAGATGGCTTTTAGGTCCCTCCCAACCCAAACCCTTCCAATCCCCCTAGTGAAGAATTTTCCCCCAACACCCAGCGTGAGGCTGTTTCACCATGGAGCACGCAGATATTTTAACTGGAATTTGGCTCATGAACACAACAGGAACCCCTCAGAGAGGAAGGCAGCACAGCAGGGGAGGGCAGCAGGGCACTCACACTCTTTGATGAACAGGTAGGTGAGGGTGAGGATGACGGTGTGGCCGCTGTACAGGTAATCCCCACACATGTTGTGGGAGCCCGTGATGGACAAGCCTCCGCCAGCAATCAACTTCATTATCCTTCTCAGGTGAGATTCCCAGTCTCCAAAGAGCTGGTGGGACAGCAAAACACAAAAGCACAATAAAATATCACAGCTCAAAGCAATGGTTTTAAGCAGCAATTTGGCTTTTTAGTTCTTTATTGTATTTGCAGGGACCCCCGGGGCAGGAAGGAATGATGAATCTGACTCCATGTTCTCAGAAGGCTAATTTATTATTATATTATATTATATTATATTATATTATATTATATTATATTATATTATATTATATTATATTATATTATATTATACTATCTATACTAAAGAATACAAAAAGGATACCTACTAAATGCTCTAAAGCTAATAATGAAAACTTGTGACTCTCTCCAGAGTCCTGACACAGCCTGACTGTGATTGGCCAATGAGTGAAAACAACTCACAGCAGAATGCAACAAACAATCACCTGTGGCTGAACAATCTCCAAACACATTCCACATGTGAGCACAGCACAGGAGAAGCAAATGAGACAAGAATTGTTTTCCTTTTCTCTGAGGTTTCTCAGCTTCCCAGGAGAAAAATCCTGGGCAAAGGGATTTTATCAGAGAATGTGAGTGCCACAGTTCTCCTCCCCTTCTGCTTTGATCCACAAGATCAATCAGCGGATAAATAAATCCTCAGCCTTTCCTAAAAGCTGGCAGCACATTTCTAGCAGGAAAAAGACTGGCAATGAGACAGGAGTGTTTTGGTGCTTTGCACCTCTTGTAGCTGGTGCTCAGGTGAGATTTTCCTTCTGTTCAAGAGTCAGCACACTCTAAAATAAATGAGGTTTAATTTAGGTCATGTTGTTGGTAACAGCACAGGCCCTACTGGTGATCATCCAACAGAAACCAGGAGGAACTGCCCAGACTGAACAGCCAAAGCCAGGATCTGATGAACAGAGGAACATCTCACTCCAAACCCCAAAGCCTTGGAAAAACCTGCTACATTATTTCCTTCTGCTTCCCACTCCAACAGAAACATCTGTGCTGTCTGTCAGAGCACAGGGCCAGACTTGTGCTTTGAATCCACACAGGGATCTCCCTCCACACCCAGATTTGCTCTGACCCACCCCCAAATGCTCCTTTTCCAGGAGCATTCCTAGAAAAGCTTCAGTTTGCCCAAGGAAAGGCAAATCCAAGCAAACCAAGTCCTTCCCAGAGGACACTCTGCTCCCTCTCCTGAGTGTGACTGAGGGCAGCTGGCACTGCCCAACACTTTTGCTGCTCTTAACCAAGGCCAAATATTAAACAAATCCACAAAAAATGGGACAACCAGGATGTGTGGAGAAGCTCTGGGACCCATCAGGAAGCAGGGACTAATGGATCAATGCACACCTTGGTGCTGCATCCTCACCTCATTTTTTTTTTGGTGTTTGAAAATCCATTGACATCACTGAACTGTCAAAAGGAAACAGACTCCCCCCCACCCCAGACTGGCCATTATGTTTTTATTTTAAAGCTTGGCCTTGCTTTAAGAAGTGGAAATTAATAATTTCTGACAGACTGGAGCATGTTCTTTGCAGGAATTAAACATTTCCTGCTAACAGTTGCTCACAAACACCAAACTGCTCCCCAAAGCCCACTTTTCACAATCACACAGAACTCAATAAGGTGTTGAGAGGTTATTCTTTTCCCACCAGTACATTTAGTGCTTTCAAGAAAACTCCTTAATCTTATCAGGGCCCTCAGCTTGTCTCTACTTGAGTCATGAGAAGGATTTGCCAAGGCCATAAATTCCCCAAATTCCCCAAACAGGCAGATTTATTCACTCCAGCCCATAAATACCTGGTGTTCTCCCTTTTTTAATTTCCTAGCAGCAGGCTGTTCAAGCACAGTGCTGATCCTCTCCTACTCATTCCTCTTTCCAAAATCCTTCAAAAAGCCACAAAAGTTCTGGCTGGACTTCCCTGAGGAACCAAAGCTTTGTTTGGATGTGCCAATCATCACCAAAACAATTACAGCACATGGATCAAGTCCAATCAGGATTTTACAACTGTACCTCAGCACGTGGATCGAGTCCAATCAGGCTTTTATTACCTGTACCTCAGTGATTTTTACAGCTTCCAGCTGATTTATGGCTGTGCTTGTGCCCTTTCTCCTGCTTCAGCTCTGTCACAGCACAGCCAGCCCCAGGAATTGCAGCAAGGACCAGGATTCCAGCAATGCTGGATGACCAGGGGTGGATGCAACACCACCAGCTCTGTCCCATCTCCACCCTGAGCACTGAATTGCTCTCCCAGGCTGACCACAAGGCTCAGCACCTCTGTCCCAGTAGCCTTGTTTCAGCCATGGCTTTCACAATTTATCCCTGGGAGTCAGGGCTGGGCTGGGGAGGAGGTGAGAAGTCCTTGTGCTACCAGAATTGCAAAAATATGTGCAGGAGACAGGCTTAGGAAAGTCTCTCTGGGCCATTTTCAACCACAAATCCTATCTGGATTTGGCACACTGAGGTGTGTGTTCATTTAGAAATCAGTGACTCACACATGGCAAAGGTTGCACACCTTCAGCAGCTTCAGTGGGGACAGGAACATGCTGATCATGCAAATTAGCTGAAAATGCCACAAAATTTGGGTAGCTCAGTGCTTTGAGAAGGGTGGAAATCCCTGCACTGCACCTCCACTGAGAGGGCAGAAGGGTGTCCCTGTCACACCAAACCAGCACTCTCAAATTAAAATTATACAATGGTTTGGGCTGGTTTGGGCTTGAAGTTCACCCATCCCACCCCTGCCATGACAGGGACACCTTCCACTGTCCCAGGCTGCTCCAAGCCCCAAAGTCCAGCCAGGCCTTGGGCACTGCCAGGGATCCAGGGGCAGCCACAGCTGTGCCAGGGCCTGCCCACCCTGCCAGGGAACAATTCCTGATTCCCAATATCCCATCCAGCCCTGCCCTCTGTCAGTCTGAACCCATTCCCTGTGTCCTGTCCCTCCAGTTCCTGTTGCAGATTCCCTCTCCAGCTCCCCTGTGCCCCTTCAGGCTCTGGAAGGAGCTCTGAGGCCTCCACACACCCTTCCCTTCTCCAGGCTGAGCATTCCCAGCTCTCCCAGCCTGGCTCCAGACCCATCAGCAATTCCATAACCTCCTCTGGACCTGCTCCAACAATTCCATGCCCTCCTGATGCTGGAGACACCAGAACTGTGCACAGAATTCCAGGTGGGCTCTCGCCTGAGCAGGGCAGGGGGGCAGAATCCCCTCCCTTAGAAACACTTCTTGAGAAAGCAGCTTTGGGAAGAGCAGGGTGAGGGGGAAACAGGCAGATGAGGAATTTACCTTTGGAGAACACTTGAAATGCATTCCAGGTACTGGGAGTGTAGTCACATACATGGTAATGCACCGGTACAGGTATAGTGTGCCAACGATACAGAAAAACCTTCTGCTAATTATAGACCTGCCAGGGAGAAAAAACAGCCACAAATAAGGAGGGAAACAAAATCCACAAAGGTAAATAAAACAAAGCAGCAGCTGGTTTCTCCTGAGGCTTTGGAAACTCGTGACACTATCAGGGAATGCTGAACTACTCCACAAATATTCCAGGCCAGGAACACAGAGGCAACACGGCTCACACTGCCTTTGAAGATGAATACAGGCAATCTAAGGATTAGGATGCAGAACCCTGTGCAGATTGGGTGCTGAAGACATTAAAGGGGATTTCATGCCCCACACCCCTCTGTTAGCTGTGGCCAGTCACTGATTTCCTATCTGAGGCGGGGGATAAAGTTACAGGATTTTCATTGTGGGATGAAAAGAAGTAAGTTTATTCCAGCTGACACACAATTCAGTGATTACAAAGGATCTCCTGTGTAACCCAGAGGAGTGAGAGAACACATCTTTCCTGAGCAGCGTTATAAAGGAAGCAGTTCACATCAGCAAGGAAAGCCCCCAAATAAAAATGCAGAGCTGGGCTGGCTGCAGGACAGGGTGTTTGCAGGGAGCACAGCCACAGCCACATTTATTAGTGAGGGCTGATGCTCACAGAGAGGGCAGATGCACATCTGGGGTCCTGTGAGGTGCTTCTGCAAAACCAGCATGAGCACCTGGGGTAAAAGATGGGCTCAGGAGGGACAGCCAGCCCCATAACTGCCCCACTGGGGTAACACCTCCAAAAAAGACAATTAAACCTCTCCTGGCACATCCACCAGGACAGGAGCAGCCTCTGGAGAGATCCTAAGGAGAGATCACTGCCAGGGTTACAGAAATTGGGGTGAATCCAATTACAGCAATCACCCTTCGTGTGCCACTGGCTACAGACCCTGCGGGTTTGGTTCATTTTAAATCACTGCTCTTTGCACTCATGGCCATTTCAAGCTGCAGGTTCTGCCATTCACAGAATCCAAGAACAGTATGGAGTGGAAGAAACCTTCCAAGATCATCTCATTCCACCCCTGCTATGGCAGGGACACCTTTCACTATCCCAGGCTGCTCCAAACCTGGCCTTGGGCACTGCCAGGGATCCAGGGGCAGCTCTGGGCTGCTCTCTCCACCCTGCTAGGGAACAATTCCTTCCAATATCCCATCCATCCTTGCCCTCTGGCAGTCTGAAGCCATTCCCTGTGTCCTGTCCCTCTATCCCTTGTCCCCAGTCTCTCTCTTTCTTTCTTGGAGGCTCCCTTCAGGCACTGGAATTCAATTGTTGCTATTTTGCTCACTTTAAAAAATAAATATTCCTATCAAGCTGAGCTCTTTCAAAAGTCAAAATTGGCCACCTTTTAAATTTTTTAGTGCTTTTGGCATAGTTATTAAACTGGAGTGCTCCACTCTTGGAGGAGTATGAGTTTGCAGTGCCAAGGCAAACTTGCAAGGCACCTTCAGTGCCTTGATTTATCAGGAAAAATTCAACTCTTGCAGGCTAAACACATTTTGCACTGGAGCACTCCCTGCTGTAGCACACTATTCCAGGCTTTTTCTTCCCTCTCCTGGTGTAAACTTGGGCAAAGCTGTGAGTTAAGAATGATAATTATTCATCTTTTTCCACAAACTGAAATTTAAGTGTGGAGGGCACCACTCCAGTAGAGCAGGGGTTCTCCTCTGCACAAGTTTTCCTCTCATATCTCACCCTTGTGGCTTTTAGAACCAGAATTCCAGGAGTTCTCCTCTGCAGAATTTTTCCTCTCATATCTCACCCTTGTGGCTTTTAGAACCAGACATGAACCTGCCTTTTTCTTTTTAACATTAAGGCAAACAGGGGGTTGGGGATTAAAGGCTGAGCAACACCATATTCTGAGAGACCAAAGAAGCATTTCTCTGAGCACTGAATTTATTTTTTTAATTAAAACTACCACTTGACTTTGCTGGATTTGGCATATTTTAACTTGGGAAAATCTGAGAGAGCTCTTCACTTTAATATAAAGTAAAAATAAATGTTAAAAGCTTCATATTTCCCTTTCTCCCAGGAGGATTTGTGTGAGTGTGAGACTCAGAGCCAGCAAGTGCAACCTCCACACATGTTCCTGGCCCAGAGAGCTCCATCCCAGCTCTGCAGACCTCAGCAGGAGCAGGCTGCTCCTTCAGCCCCATGAGCCAAACACAATCCTGGCACTGTGCTTCTCCCACAGCATCTGGGAATGCTTCCCAGGGAAGTTCATCTGCCTCTGCAGCTTCCTTGAGCTCCAGAGTGCCCTGCCAGACCTGCTCCTGCCTTCTGGAGAGACACCAGCCCAACCCCGTGCCATGGACAGCATCAGAATCATTGAATCACAGAATATTTGCCTTGGAAAGGACCTTAAAGCCCATCCAGTGCCACTCCTGCCGCAGCAGGGACACCTTCCACTGTCCCAGGGTGCTCCAAGCCCCAAAGTCCAACCTGGCCCTGGGCACCTCCAGGGATGAGGAAGCAGAAGTGAGGAAGGCCCATCTGGCCCAATGCCCTCCCATTATTTCTGAATGAAGTTTCAAAGGGAGGGGATAACCCCAGCACAAAAGGGATTCAGCTTTTCTGCAGCACTGAGTCTGCACCCCTTTGGTGTGCCCCATCCAAAGCCACAAGAATCAGGTTCTCCAGATGAAGCCACCTCACTGGGCTCTTGTTCCTCTCCTGCTCTTCCCTTTCTCCTGCTCAGCCACAGCTTGGGCCTCTCAGACCTCTGCTCATGGATAGAAAAGAGGCATTTTGGTCCTTGAAACATTCCATGGTCAGTGCATAGACTGACCAAGCTCTGGCATCTTCCCCTAACACCAGAAGAGGCCCTTCCAAAGGGGACTTCCCATGGCAAGGGGTTGGAATGGGATGACTTTGAGGGTCCCTTCAGCCCCAAACATTCTGTGATTCTAGAACATAAATAAAAACAGACACCCCAAAGCAAATGGGGACATGGCAGGGGGGATCTTCACATCTGCCAGTGACACCAATATATGTATGCTACATCAACTCAACCCACATCTCACTGCTTCAAAACCTCCAAGGATTCTGCTGTTCCTCACCTACAGGCTCTGCTCAGCTCCACCACAGGGTGCTTGATCCCTGGGATGGCCATATGAACCCCACACCTCCTTTTTGAGAACAATCCCACACCACCCCCTCAAGCTGTTTCCCTTGGGTTTAAAATCATGGAATATCCTGAGCTGCAAGGGACCCACAAGGATCATTGGTCCAGATCCAGTCCCTGCACAGATACCCCAATAATCCCACTCCATACATCCTTGGGAGCATTGCACAAATCCTCCTGGAGCTCTGGCAGCTGTGCCCATTCCCTGGGGAGCCTGTTCAGTGCCCAGCACCCTCTGGGGAAAGAACCTTGCCCTGAAATCCAACCTAAATCTCCAGCCATTCCCTTGGATCCTGGTTCACAGCTGCCCTCACAAAAGCATGAGCTGTGTTCCCTCAGAACAAACAGTGAGTTCAGAACATCATTTCATCCAATCCAGGCTCTTCACCCATGGAGAAGGTTTGAGTTAAACACTCAGGGGTGTTGCTCAGCTTCTTAGGGAACATTTGGACCTCTGCCTTCTGCACAAGCACTTCACACTGCATGCTACCTCACCTTTGAAAACTGAGACAAGAAGATCACAAGAAGCTTCATTTTGTTTGGGTGCAAACCAGCATCTGCCCTCCAAAAGCTGCCAGAAGCACTCAAGTGTTGAAAAGGTTTTACTTACTTGTATTTTAAGAGCAGCCACTGAACAAACCACAGTCCTACAAGGATCATGCCGTTGATTTCACAAATAGAAAAAGCCCATTGCACCCGATCAAAGCGATCAAAAAATGCATCTGGGAGCGGAGGCTGCACCTCCTTGGGAGGCACTCGTTCATGAACCACCGAGATAGTCACCGTGGTGAAGACGAAACAAAAAAGTGCATAAATAAAAGCCAGGAAAGTCTTGCCCCACTCCATGGGATACTGCGAGCGCTCCGGCTCGGGCATGGGGATCTTGATCATCTCCTTCTTGAACCCGTTGGGGATGCCCCCATTGAGCTTGAGCGCGGCGCCGAAGCCGTTCTGGCGCGCGGCGTCGCCGGCGCGCACGTGCCCGTTGGCGTGGCCATTCTTGTGAGCCTCCATGTGGTGAGCCATCTTCAGCCCCTCGATCATGTTCAGCAGCCGCTGCCCGCTGTCGGAAGACACCCGGGACAGAGGGGATTTCTTGAAATCCTCCTCCGTCAGGTTGATGAGGTCCCGCCCGGTGAAGTTCTTCAGGGGCTCACAGTACTCCGGCACGGCATTGTCCGTCAGCCAGCCGGTCACCTCCTCGGGTGACCACAGCACCACTTCTTTCATCTCGCCGGGGACGGTGGCACATGGGCTTTTTAAAGTGGGCAGCACTCACTGCGGCTCCAGCGTGGTGGGAAGCTCCTCCTTGGCTTCATCTTGTTGTCCCTGCAATGGGTTTGGCCAGAGGCAGAGGCCGTCCCTACCCAGCCGACACCGGCGTGCGGCCAGCGTAGGAAACGCTCTACTTCATCTTCGTGTTGGCATTCTTCTTCCTGGGGAGGGAAACACAGAACCAGGCATTAGCATGGCATTCAGTGCCAAAATTCCTGCACAAAACCAGCTCTGCTTGGGTTGGGATGGACAACAGAATCTGGAGATTTGAGCTCCAGCTTGTACATGCAGCATCATCCTTCCTAAGCTCACCATTGATTTCCTAAAACAACATCACCTTGAACACCACTGTCCAGCTGTGGGAAGCTTCCCTCCTGCTCAGATTTTGTTACATTTTCCATTTCAATGCTCTAGTCCATGAGCAGCACCCAAACTCCTCTTACAATCATCATACTCATGGGTTTAAGGAGCTACAGAGCAAATGTTTGGTATTATTTGTGGTAGAAATCTCTTCTACCTCTTACAGACTGGTACCTTAATGGAATGTGTGGCACCAGTGACTGAATACAAAACCTGTTTTTCATTCTGCAAAGCAAAAATCATAAAATCACAGAATCCCAGACTGGTTTGGGTTGGAATGGACCTTAAAGCTCATCCCATTCCATGGGCAGGAACACCTTCCATTAGACCAGCTTGCTCCAAGCCCCATCCAACCTATCCCAGAACTCCACCAGGTGCTACATATAGTCATCAAAACTAAAAAATTTATGTAGATAAACAAGGGTCTGCTGTCTGGGCCAAAAGAGCAGCAGGAAAATCAATAATCAAGCAGATTAGCCTGAAAAGAAACTGAAGCATTTAGGTTTGCAAATATTTAGCAGCTCTGTGAGGTAAATTCAACTGTTACCAGGTTGTACTACTCCAATTCAAAGAAATGTTGACTACCAGATAAAAAAAAAAGGAACCAGGACAAATTTATTTTTTTTTAAAAAAAGAGGAACTAGGTAAGAAACTTCTATACTCAATGAATTGCAGAAATAGCTTAGAAAAGCTGATTGCTTCCAGTACAAAAGTTACAAGCACACACAAGTTACTTGCTTGGAATCTCCTCCTGAATTTTTGAGATACAAGCAGCAAACAAGTTAGTGATGGCAGGGCAGCAACCACCAGCAAATCCTCAGATCTGAGGTGTTTATTCAACCAAAAACCCAAACTGCTCCTCCCCAGAGCAAGGAGAGGAAAGCAGTGGAAGCCCCACCATCCCACAGACCACGTGCTCTGCTGCAGCTCATAAACATGAAGTGAGAAGGTAACAGCACAGGGAAAAAAACCACTTCATATTTTCAGAAGTCAAACCAAGCCTTTATCAGCTGAAAGAATATTTTTAGCCCTCTTACAGGCTCCCAAGTGTTTGTGTTTCATCAAAGGGAGCAAAGTTGTGACTGAGGAAAACCAAAATAATTTACCCTACTGGCATGATTTGAACTGAAGTGGCTCAGAACAGATACAGAGCTTTACTCCTATGCAAACATGACCACACTGCACACACAATTAATTTTCTGATCTGTTACCTCCAAGCTCAGCAAGAAACACAAGGCGCAGTTTTTAACTTGGTTTTCCATAGAAGGAACTGTGATGGTAGAGAAAAGAAAAAGCCTTGGATGGAAGGACTGGCAGTACTTTGGACAGGCCACCTCTCACTTCTGGACACCAGGAAAGTGCAGAGATTTAAATCCACAGAGCAAGGGATGAAGATGAATCTTCCACTTTGTGCAAATCTGTGTTGTTTTAGAGCAGAAGTGAGGACACAGCTCTGTTTGCTTCCTTTTCTCTCAATGCTGAGGAAGGCTTTCAAGCCACAGATTGCTTCATTATTCAAGTTGTGTTTAGCAAATCAGGATTTAGTTACAGAGCTCTGAACATGGCAAAAGGATGGCCTGAATTATGCATGGTAACCCACATTAGAAGCTCCTACAAGGCCAGGACTGAGCAGCAGCTCAGCTCCACCTGCCCATCTCCATGTGCTCATTTCAAATCCCAGCTCTGGCAGCACAAATTCCCAACAGACAATCCTAACAGACTTCTTGTTGCATCCCAGGATGGTGCCTCACAAGGATAAAGCCAAAGTTATTTATTTTTAATGCTGTTCCCCCACCCAAGCTCTGGGCCTGCAGCAGCCATTCAGCCCAGCTTTGGGGTTGTCTGAGCACTCTGTGGGCACACAAGTTAGGCCAGTATTAACTAAATCTTTTCAGTTTTCAACACTAGAGTGCCTAAATCCTCATTTCCCAAATCCCTGAACCTGACAGAGCAGATACCTGTCCACCCTGACAACATTTAAAGACACAGCTCAGGAGCCTGTAGCCAACCTCCAAACTACATCTCCACTGCCAGGGAAGGGCTGGATTGGGTAGTGGGAAAAGTTTCTCCATGGAAAAGGTTGTCTAGCTCTGAAATAGGTTGCCCAGGGCAGTGGCAGAGTCACCATTCCTGTCTGGAGGGATTTAAAACATTTGTAGATGTGGCACTTGGGGACAGGGGCTAGGCCTTGGGAGTGCTGGGGGAATGGTTGGACTTGATGAGCTTAGAGGGCTTTTCCAACCTAAACCATTCCATGAAAGCTTCCAGCAGGTGCTAAGATGAGTTCCAGATGGAAAAATCTGTTGCCAGCTACAAATAGCACTTGGATATTGGCAGGAGTGTCCCAAAATGCTGTGTGACCGCAGGACACCTGGCCTGGCAGCCTGACAAAAACCAACAAAAGTAAAACTGCAGGTTTGGGCAACATTGCTGGCATCTACCATCAGTTCCAAAATGTGCTCTTACACCACCAGTGGAAATCACTATCAAGCACCTTTTGTAAAAGCAGAGTAAAAGATACAGGAGGAAGGACAAGGACACAGGCCATGGAGATGAGTTGTTTTCACTGAGAGTTAAAATGAGGAAAACCAACTAAAATTTTTAACACCACTTCTTATTCAAGCCTGTTTTCACAGCCTGCCTAATGGGGGAGGGAAGGCAAAAAAGCTTCTTTACTCACACCTTCCAGCTTGCCACATTAAAAATTCCTCATTCCCTCTGGTGCATCCATGAAAGCTTGATGGGGTTTGGTGTGCAGAAACTGTGGGGGACTCACAGCTCTCCCTGAGCCCTTCCCTTCCACAAAAGGTCTTCTCCTCTCCTGAAGACAGAAGGTGGGGAGCAGTGTCAGCCCAGGATGAGGCACACACAAACCTCCCCAGCTCTGCCACAGGTTCTTTAGCCTGGCTGACTAAAAATTCCCTCCACCTGAAGCAGAGCTGCCTCATTAAGGAGCCTGAACCCGACAAGGAATTATAAATAACAATGTGATTACCATAACAATACCAACTGCACCGTGATAATGGTGCTGTGGAAAACCAGTACCTCAAAATGCCCACACAAGAGTGAGCAGGATGAAACAACCTCATCAAGGGCTCCAGGTGGCACCTCCTTGTGTTTACAGGACCTTTTTCCCCTGTTGCCAGTAAACACTGAAGTGCTAACTCAAAACGTGGGGTGTAATTCTCACCACCACTTCCACCTACACCTTGGCCAGAGGGTTAAACAAGGATTTGGGGTGCACTGCTACAACCCTGCCCATCAAGACCTGCTCTTCTCAGATCAGCTGGGCACAAGAGCAAAGGTGGGAGCATCAAACTTTTTGGTTGAAGAACAAGATAATCAGCCATGAATTCACCAGCTGATGAATTCTCTCCACATGAGAATCATGGAATGATCTGGCTTGGGAGGGACCTTAAAGCCCATCCAAGTGCCACCCCTGCCATGGCAGGGACACCTTCCACTGTCCCAGGCTGCTCCAGCCTGGCCTTGGGCACTGCCAGGGATCCAGGGGCAGCCACAGCTGCTCTGGGCACCCTGTGCCAGGGCCTGCCCACCCTGCCAGGGAACAATTCCTAATGCCCAATATCCCATCCAGCCCTGCCCTCTGGAACTGGAAGCCATTCCCTGTGTCCTGTCCCTCCATCCCTTGTCCCCAGTCCCTCTCCAGCTCTCCTGGAGCCCCTTTAGGCCCTGGAAGGGCTCTGAGCTCTCCCTGGAGCCTTCTCCTCTCCAGGTGAGCACCCTCAGCTCTCCCAGCCTGGCTCCAGCCCTGGAGCATCTCCAAGGCCTCCCCTGGACCAGCTCCACACTTTTCCCATGCTGAGGACAAGGCCCAGGTCTGGGGTCTCCTTGCAAGCAGAAATGGTTAATTCTCACAATTAACATTGATGAGACAAAACCACACCCACTCAAACCAGTAAAAAACCACCTCCCTTATCTGTTTGTTCATCTTGAAACTCCTCCTAAAGCACTTTGAAACCCAACCAAAGCAAAGAAAACCTAAGCCTACTAAAATCAAATTGTGCCCTGCTCGTGTTTGTGCTTCTACTCTCTAAGCTTTGCTGCCAGGGCAACAGTCACTATAGAAATCAGTCAAATAAAAAGCTATTTCAGCAACTCGTCACCAGGAGCCAGGAAATCCTTTCAGAGGTACTGCTGTGCTCCACTTGCAACCCTCAGCATCCTTCCCAGACAGCCCAGAGAAGTTGAGAGGATTCAACTCTTGGTGAAAAATGAGAGTCTAAATGAGAGAGGTTCATAAGCACAGCTGGAAGGGGCAATAGTGACATTTTGGCCCTTGGAAACCAAACTCTGAGGTTCACATTGATAATGTGTGCACACAAATAAGCAGAGAAAGCAGCTGCTGTACGGGCTGAAGATTTAATGCTTTATAACCCAGCCCAGCAGTGAATTCCCCATGAATGATGAGCAGGAGTCACCCAGAGACCGAGTGCCCCCCATAAAAGCTGGGAGCTCTTGTCCTGGGTTTTTTAGAGCACAAAACAAACTGGGAACTCTGGTCCTGTGTTTTTTAGAGCACAAAACAAACTGTTCACAGCAGCAGGGCCTGAGTCACTGCTATAGTCATCTCCTGTCCAGGCATTTCATCATGGCCACTGTGACACCTCAATAACTGGACATCCTGTGCTTGACAAGCACCTCTGCACAGCAATTTGCAAGGGAAGGGAGCTGCCTGCCACAAATTATGTGCTGGGTAGCCCTAACAAGCTCTCAAGCAGTGTTTCCCTCCCTCCAGGACATGCTTGTCTCCAAACCAGCATCACCCCTTCTGCACCAC